TTGACTATGTTCGTCGGGGATGTGCCTGGAGTGTCAAATCACATTAAAAACGTGACGTGAGGCTGCATGTGGGCACAGCCAGCGTTCCAGCAGGGTCTTCAAGCATGGGATCCCACCAGCAGGCACGCACGCTCCTGCTGCTGCGAGGCACCCCCTCCTCTCCCATGTAGCAGCTCCGTAGGGTGGCCAGCGGGTCCGGTTCAGGGGTCCCAGGCAGGAGGGAGGCTCCTGTCCCACGCTGGCAGCACTGTGGCCGGGAAGCAGTGGTCAGATGAGAGAATCTCACACGTTTCTGCTAAAGAGGATCTGCAAGCTGCCGTGGGTGTCAAGAGCAGCTTGGCCGCAGCAGCAGGGACACCAGGGAGCTCGTGTGCCTCGCTGAGAAACCTTGGTGTGTGCGCAGGGGGGTTGGGACCTCACAGCTATGTCATTTCCAAGCCATACCTCTTCATACCCTTCACGGACACAACCATGTTGGCAGCATCTGACGATGAGATAATCCGCTTATTCTTTCCTCTCGTAGACTTCCACGATGGATGAGACCTCAGACGAGCCTCCCACTTCTGCTGTCCTCTTAGACAACTGCCACTTCTCCCAGGTTGTCTTTAATGATGTGGAGAAGTTTTATGTTCCCGGAATAGACATAACCTGTTATTACACCCTCACGCAGAACATCGTTCCTCGCAGGAAGGACTGGGTGGGCATCTTCCGGGTAAGTGAACGCTGTGAAACCAGATGTGCCAAGTACGAGAAGGCAGCAGCAGGCAGAAACAAATAGCATGGGCTTTGGTAGAACAGGGTTGGGGAATTTTTTTCTGTAATAATCTTGTGTGATGGAACACCTTTATTGTGCCTAGGGACAAAGTGTCAGACCTATGGCGACCTGAACAACTTCAAGGTTAATCAGACACTCTGATTAGTCTTTCATGCATAGACCACAACTCCTAGAAGTCAGGATATCAATGCAAAAGTCCTCCCAGTAACTGATCTGTGTGGAAATACAGTCCCATTACCACAGGATAAACGTGAACTGTGTGACGCCATATAACAGTTTTGCTCTTGCAGGTGGGCTGGAAAACAACCCGGGAATATTACACGTTCACGTGGGCTCCTCTGCCCAGTGACGTCCACAGTGATAGGGCTGTGCAGCAACAGATCCAGTTCAAAGGTGAGTGGGGAGCTGGGGTCACTCGGGGAATGCGTGTGCCCAGGCACGCACACACAGACGAGTCAGCTGCCACTAACAGCACGACATTCAGAATTACAGAAGATCTGTAGGACCATGCTTTGGGAGACTTATTTCACATCCTGTAATAAATCGCAAAATTTTGAATTTGTTAAATTCTGCCATCCTGACTGAGTGATATTGTTGGCGTTCCTACCACTGGCTCAAGGGATTACCAGCGGTGGGGGAACGGTACTGAACTAGGATGTGTCAATTTTCTGAGGTTCTCGCTTTCTGTGCTATGTTGTGAAGAGACTTGAATAGTTAGAAGCTGCATGTGACGGGGCTGTTGTGTTTGTTTGAAGCTTACTACCTACCGAAAGATGATGAATACTACCAGTTCTGCTACGTCGACCAGGATGGTGTGGTCCGTGGAGCCAGTATCCCTTTCCAGTTCAGGGCAGAGACTGAGGATGATATCCTGGTGGTTACCACGCAGGTACGTGTCCTCTCTTCCCCTGCTTTTTCCTGCCTCTGCTTTTTTTGGCCTGTGCTGACTGCTGACTTGGAGTGATCCAGTAAATCGGATGCCAGACTGGAACTCGGCAGACTTGGATTCTATTCTTGGCTTTGCTACTGATCTGTCACACAGATTTGGGCAGCCTTTGTTTCTCTGCCTGCCATTTATCACTTAGATTGTGAGCTCTTTGTAACTGGGAGTGACTTAACACATAGTGTTTCAGGGCATTTTGAATGTTTTTAAATGAAAATGTCATTTTCATGGAAACAGCCTGCCATTAGCTGGGAGTGAGAGCATGCACATGGACAATAATTGAGGTGCGGTGAAGCCAAGCACTCTGATTTTGCAGTGTCTTGTGTGCAGCCCTTTTGGTAATGACTGCACTGCGCACACGGTCCCAATCTAACAAGCTGCAGAAAGCCCCAGACCTCTGCCTCTGCTGACTGCTGTGGGCACAGGCGGCTTTGAGCACCTCCAAAGATCAGGGGTGGCATGTGCTCAGGGTTCCAGAACTGGGTTGGTGGTCGGTTTTGGACAGCCTGAGCAGAGTGAAGCAGCAGTCTGGTCTGCACTAGTAGTGAAAGCTCGGGGAGGTACACGGTGTTCTCTTTTGCTCATCTTTGCTCTTCGCGCTGTGCTATTTGGAACAGAGCTTTTCAGTGCTTCTGTTAATGACCAAAGAACTTTGTTGCTTGCCAGGGAGAAGTAGAAGAGATTGAACTACAAAACAAAAATTTGCGTGAAGAAAATGAGGAGCTGAAAGCGAGCTGTGCAAGTCTCCAGAAACAAAACATCGCTCTGCAGGAAGAGCTCAGCAAGGCACAGGTAAACAAAAAAGTTAATATATTAAGTCAGAAACTTTTAGTCTGAAAGATGAAGAGGAACTGAGTCAGATTGTATGCTTCACTGTATGCTTCCAGGAGAAAATTAAAGAGGTTTCTCTTCACATTATCTGTTTAATTCTTTACCAAATCGTACAACACCTCTACTGTGATAAGAACAATAATGACGAACAAGAGACATCTTCAGACACAGGAGTCAGGAACAGGTGGGGAAGGGAGTGTTCAAAAAAGTTTTGTAGGCTGTCCTGAAATCACATTATCATTTCTTCCTTCAGTTTTGTTCAGGGCTTAATAAAAATGAAACAGGGTCTGAAAGAGTAGTCAGGATGCAAACAAGAGATTTTGCTTCTTCAGCTGGACTGCCTGGAAGTGTTGCGTTTGAGGGATTTTGCAGTTCCAGTGCAGAGCAGGGCTATTGCTTGGGTCCCGTTTACCTCCTGTCGACCTTGCTGTGGGTTTAGGAGCTGCAGAAGAGTTTAGAGTCTCTGAGGAGCAACACAGATAAACTAGAGCTGGAGCTGAATTCCCTGAAAAAGGAAAATAAACATCTAAAGGAGCTGGGTGACTGCAGAGTGGCAGAACTGCACCAGTAAGTGTATTTACAGCATATCTCAAAATGGGATTTCACGTAAGCGCTTTGCCTTTGTGGATTAAATTTCCATCCGTGAAAGTATGGTGTGTTTTGATTTGTTCTGAGTAGACTGAAAGAGCAAATTCAGAGTGTGACCTCTGACAAGGAACACCTGGAAACCAGACTGAAAACAGCCCTGGATCACATGGACCAGCTGCAGGTAGCAAACATAGAGCTGCCCTCCTTGCTTTGCTTTGCCTCTGACAGAACTGAGCGGTCTTGAGCAGTTATGTGGTGTATGAGTTGCTTTTTTGATTATGTGAGTATTTTGGGATAATGGTTTTGATATGATTTGACCTCAAGGAAACCTCAGGAAAGTTGTATTCTGGAAGGGAGGATAGAGGGGGATGTGCTAAGAGAAACTAAAAGGATTTTATTCCCTAAAAACACCCCCTTTGCATGCTCATTAAGTTGGACAAAATCAGACTGTTCACCTCCTGCTAGCTAAGGATCCAGGCCGAAAACACTTCTGTTTTGAAAAATATTCTAAAATTGTCTTCGATACTTGGGTGAAAACAAAGACTGCTAGCTGGGAGTATGTGAAGGGAGAAGGCAGACTGAAAATAGCTTGGTTGTTAGGGCTGGGACGTGGAAGACCCAGAACGATGGGCTCACCATCTGGCTACAGAGTCTCTGTTATTCTCTTTGTTCTCTGACTTCCCAGACCAGAAGTGTCATGTTGAAACTTAGAAAGCTCTTCAGAGAACCTGTGAGTCAACACTGTTCCGATGAACGCATCAGCTCCAGTGTATCCCCGCGTAACTATTCTCAGTTAAAAAACCTCTACAAAGGTTTTAATGGAAAAATGTTTGCAGAAAAAAAGATTTAAGCAGCTGTGGGTTCTGGAGATTTGGTTTGTGCAGCAAAAGGTGCCTGTGCTCCTCACTCAGAGCTGTTCAATTTTCACTTTCTGCCCACCGTTCTTTCTCTCTAGTCTCAAGTGTTGAGTTATGAGAAAGAAGTGGAAAATCTGTCTCGTTTGGACCGTGACAAGACAGAGCAGCTTGAAAGTTTGAAGGAAGAGAATCGCCAGTTACGCATGGCAACAGCTCAGCAGGTAAAGCCTTCCCTGAGTGTCACGGTGCTTGGTGGAGCCAGGGCAGAGAGGCTGAGGCATCCTTGGCAGTGAGCAAGTACAAATATTGCTCAATCTTACGAGAATCTGGGGGATTCCACAACAGAAAGAAATGTCCGGTGGTGGTGTGGGTGTCCACATAGGCAGTTCTGTGAACACACCATCTGACAGATTCTTAGGGTATACATATATTCTTAAAGTATATATATATTCTGGTAGTATACACGTATGTTTCAGTTTGGGGAGAAATGCCTGTATAACTAGACATTGTAATTCTGGTTCTCTGTAGCATGAAAATTCAGTCTCTCTCTTGAGCTCTTCTGAGTCATCTCAAGGGATAAAGGAAATCAGTGGAAATTCAGGATTGGTGTTTGGCTGATTGCAAATCATTGCACCTAAGCAAAATTGTTTCAAGACTGGGACTTAGGAGTAAATCTAAGTCTAAATCTGCCCAGACTACATGCTGTTAATTTTACCTCCAACAGGAAGCTGACTAGTAATTGGTGTGAGGCAGTGACATTGCTGGTCTTCTCTCTGTTGGTGTTTTTGTCTCTTTCTCAACTTTAATACCTCAAAATTACCATTTAATGATCAATAAAATAGATGCAATATGCTCAGAATGCACCAAAATAAGCTGTAAACAATACAAAGTTTCTGTTCTGTAGTTTGGTGCTCTGCCCCACGTTCTGCTCCGACACCTCTTCGCAACTCTGCTGGTGAAAACCTGGGATTTCTGTGCAGAAAGAAGAAAATAAGGAGCTTGAATGTTGCATGGAAAACTTGAAGAGGTCGAAGGCCAAACTCCCGCTTTGTCTGCGCCACTGCCTGCAGAATAAGCAGGTGCCCAGCATTTCTGGGAGTGCAGCTGGGGAGATGGTCCCAAAAGCACTGAGCGCCGGGCTCTGCTGTGTTGTGTGGAACCTGCTGGTAGCTGTGCGGGGGAGCTGAGACTCACTGGCAGCGCGGTTTTCCACCTGCTTTCAATTTACAGAACTATCACAGCTTCCCTGTGAATGTTGCAGATGACTGTATGTAGAACAAATTTAAGTTTATGGACAAAAGGCTTGCTTTTCTTGGGTAACTTCTGTAGAGCTTTTAGAAGTAATCCACAAACCTCAGCATGGGAAATCACTCTCTGAAGGAGTGCAAAGGATAGAAAAGGGCAGCATGCTGTGGCATTTCTTTATACTGAAGAAACCATCATTGGCAAGGACTGAGGCCATCACATCATCTTTAGCCTGTTGTCCTGAGTGACCTTCTAAAAGTCCTTCTCTCTCTGTGTGTGCTACGCAGGAAGCTTTTGGAATCTCTGCTCTGACGATGGCATTGGCAATTAGATGCCTAAAATAGATGATGTGATTACCTCCGCTGTGATACCAAATGTTCAGGATTCTTTGTGATACTTTGAGAATGACTGCAGAATCCCTAAGTACTGCAGCTTATCTAATTTACTAATTTAATTTAAGAGTCAGCTACAAGATTAATTCCTAAGGATGTACTGGCTATCCACCGTCAATGCAGGTCTCACAGCACCAGGAACCTGGCAGACGTGGATAGCTCTCGCCTGCCAGGGTGGATTTTTCAGCTGTATGAGTTCCTTTTCTTCAGCCTCCCTCTTTGTCTGACCTGTCATACATACGCCCGCTTTGGAGGTCATGTGTCATCTTGGATGTTGTAATGAAAACACAGTGCGTGAGTGGTGACATGGAGATATCCTAGGTGACCAACTATGAAATGAGAGACTCCCACTGAAAGTGAAGTGTTATTTGTTGGCAATAAGTGCAGCACGAGGCAGCTAGCATATGACAGCTCCATTGCTTCGAGCTGCCATCATTTTGTTTGCCAGTTTAGCATGTTTTACCAAATAACACTCTTCCTTCATAGCAACAAAACTGTGACTTAATGAAAGAACTTGAGGAGCAGAAGCGTTTGTTTCAGATCCTGCAGGCAGAGAAGAACAAAGCTGATGAGGAAAATCAGGTGGGAACTTGGCACGACTCCCTTGCCTTTCTCCAGTATTGAATGTGACACTAATCTCTCAGTCTAGTGTTCCGTCCCATTAATCCTTCTGCCAAACGGATCGCTAATTGTGCTTGCACGTGGACCACCACCTGAAGTCAGGCTGCCAGCCTGTCTGCGAGCACGTACGAATGACCGTGTGCATACACAGTACATTGTTGCTGCCACATCTATAGAGCCTAAGAGAAAGGCTCCAAAAACTTGCAGCTTTTTCCCCCACCACATAATAGACTGATTTACCTGTAATAGCGTGGGGATTTTCAAAACCTCCTAATGTTAGCTTAGTTCTGACACCACTGAAATGAATGGACTTACTCGTTTAAATGGACTTAGCCTTTTTTGTCCAGTCTAAACAATGACTGCTCAGTTTTGTTCCTTACTCGGCATGACTTCAGGATAGTCTTCTGTCTTTTAAAATGCATTAGTCTATTGTGATCATCTTGTCTGCCTTTCTGAGCAGGCCTCAGAATAGATCCTTGCCTTTCCTTACCTCACTTTCCCATTCTGTCAAGTAGGACTAACACTGAGCTACCTAAAAGAAGTTCAGAGCAATTTTGGTTCTGATATAAGAGGATCTGTGTCAGTGCAAAGCATCACTTTTTTCTGAAAGGGTCTCCTGACCTTCTGGAAATTCATTCTGCCCTTCTGTCCCTTTGCAGAAACTAAGGGAAGAGAATGACGGGCTCCTGAGGCATCTCTCGCAGGCTAGAGCGGTTTCTTCCTTCTCTGTTGTTTCACAAGCTCAAGCTCCAATTCCAGCTCCTGAAGTAGGAGGCCTTCTGTTTGGAAATCCATATTGTGGTGAGATTACTTGGCATTCTGTCTGAAACCGCAAATACATGGCAGTTAGAGCCTCAGCAAATTATCCTCCCTGTCGAATTGAATGCCCTAGAAGAGACATTATTAGCAGCACCTCTGTGCAGCTCTGCATGTGTGCAGATGACTTGGCAGCTGCAAAATGCTGCCAGGTGTTAAGAGTTGACTTAAGTGATCAGCTGTCTGTTCATCTTCTGCCAAGAGAGACAACTATTAGCTAGTTTATTCAGCTGTGAGACAGCTAGTTCTGTGGCTTATGTCCAGTTTCCATAGTCCTAAATATAGAGATTTAGATCCAAAGCCACAGCCTCATGTTTCAAGAATTACTAGTTATCAGCACATTACATTGTTAATCATTTTGTTGTGGCTAAATTGACTTCCTTCTTTCTCCAGCTGCAGGAGCAAACCTGGGGGCAGGAGCTGCAGACTTAGTAAGTAAAGTGGACACAACTGGACATGAATTTGTGGTTTATGAATACGAATTAGTGGTTTGCAATAAAAAAACTCCAAGTTCAGCTCTGTAACCAATTGTCTGCATACTGTTTTAGTCCTGGTAAGATTGTGGACAATGAAATGGAGCCACGTATGTTTAGCATGTAGAATGAATAAGTGTTATATGTGTTAAGGAAGAGAAAGGAAACTCTGTTGACCTTAATCTTTAAGGACCAGCTCTTGGCAGCGTGTAATGGCAGAATGAGCAGCATGCAGCTGCTAAATACCTTATTTCATACTGGAGACATGGACATGCACTATCTAGGATGGAAAGTTAAGAGTACCGCTCAGAAGCTCTTGACTTTTAAGTGCTATTTAGAGAAGCCTGGAGACATTTGAAAACTTGAGAGTATTAGAAGTCAGAAGGACTTGTCCAAAACTGCTAATATCTGGCTACTAAACTCTGTGTTTTTTCTCTTTGAGTACAATTTTTAAACTGACTTTATTTGCATTTGCTTTGTGCTTCAGGCTTCTATAAGGAAATGCCCCATGTGCGATGAAGTGTTTCCTGAAGATGTTGAAACAAGTCAGTATGAGGCCCATGTGCAGAGCCATCTTCTGGAGTGCCCCCTCTGCAGTGAGACCTTTGAAAAGTCCAATAAGCAGGTGTTTGATGACCATATGTTTTGTCATGACCTGGAGTAGTGCTGAATTTGTATAGAATAGACCAAAATTGCTGTATAGGCTTGATTCATGCTAATAAGCTCACCCAGACAAGACTGACTATGCCACGAGTACTGTAATGCTGAGCTTTCTGTTCCATGCAGCACATGACCAACATGTCAATCAGGTCAGACGTCCAGATGCTGAAACTGAATCACCATCATCAAACTGAAGTCCTCTGCCTTGGATCACGTATATATACTTGTTAAAGGAGTTACAAACCCTATCATTAGTAATTTAGTTGAATGGGGTGCCAGTTCTTTAGAACAGGGTCGGCCATGTAACCGTTCATCCAGGTAGGGATCCAGGTGATGGGATGTAGTGCAGCAGTGTTCTGTACTTGGCTGATACATCTCTATTATAGTGGTGTTACTCTTTAATATGGCGCTGTGTTAACCAAAGACCAGAAACATTGTATAATCTTTTAGGATCACACCTTCAGTCCTGCTCAGTTTCTGGAATGCAGAATTAGTTATTAATAAGTACAAAAGTCTAAATAAAAATGCATCTCTTCTTTCACCGTCAGTCGTCAAGCAAGTGGAAGAGACGTATTTATAAAGAGACCGAATAGCTGTTTGCAGATCCAAAGGTCTAGGGCCCTCCTTCCAGCGAAGTCGGCAGCACAGCTTATCCTAGGGTCAGGCACATGCGCTGTTTTCAAAATAATAACAGGGAAGGGCGGTACAGCGTGGAGCCCATAGAAAAGCAGTAGCTGAGTTGTCTTGGCACCAGAGAGGATAAATGGTCTCCCAGTGAGAAAGTGGGCATCCTCACTTAAAGGAAATTATGAATTTAGATTATTTTTCTTCTATGTTTCTAAGTCTTCTTGATTTACCAAGAAGAGCCTGTTCTCTAACCAAAACATTGTGGTTCAGAACTAAGTGCCTTGGGATACTGCAATGCTTTGTGCACAGATTATCCAGTTACTATTTTTATTTCTGCGTCGGGATTTTCAGTTTATGATGAACAGCTCTTTTTTTTCCATGCAAACACAAATAAGGAAAGGTTTATTATCATAGAAAATCCTAAGGAGTTTACATAGAGTTTTAAGAGTATTTAGAGTCACAAAGACTTCAAAATGTTTTACTGTTTTGATTCTACACCAACTTTTTATCAATATAAATTTAAATAGAGTATTTCTGTTTTGAGATGTACTGTACTGGTAAGCATTATTTGAAAAACCTGTAAAAGAAAATAACGGCAAACAAAAATAAAAGCTATATGGAGAAATCCTTTGAAAAAGATGTTTCTGTCCATTCTTAAAGAAATAAATTGGAGGAATTGGTGGGGTCTTAGGGAGCTATTTCCAGGCTCTCAGTTACTTGCTGAAGCTTCTGCCTAACGAAGCACTTCAGCATGTCTCTGAAGAACTTCTAGTATGTAACATGGTATCCTGACGGGTAGTGAGACTGTTCCTGTTGAACAGAAAGCACGTATTTAACTGGCTGATCCCTCAGTGGCTCCTCACAGCATGGGATTATATTGCAAAGGCCAAAGGATAGTATGGAATAATGAGAACGAATCAGGAAAGTCAAACGAGCTGTATGGGATCTATTTCTTTAGATGCCTTCCCAGTAGTTCTGATCTAAAAACCTAAAGCTGGCTGAATTTCTTCTGTATCATAGGAACGTCCAGCGTACCAAAACCTTTTTTCCCTAGGCTAGGAGAAAAAGCTGAAAACCTTCTCACTCGGGATGATATTATGTAAAAAATACTTGGTAGTGATTGCTGTAGTGTATCTCAACATTCCTGGCATAGCTGTATCCCAACTTTGACAATCGAACGTGCCATCAAAATGAGACTCATTTTTAACTGAACACTTGTTTCCTCAGGAAAAGTCCCATTATTTTTCAGGAAAATGCTTCCCCCCATACCTTTTCCCATATATCCTCATTCTAAATTACATTTTTCTTCTTTTAGTGCTTTGCATCTTGACAAGCAAAGACAGAAAAGCAATTTTTGTTAAAACCCTGGTAGTTCACGCAAATGCCAGTTACCAGACCTCTTTCCTTTCTACACTGTTGCTAATACTGGCTCTAGTGGCTTGTATCTGAAATCCAAACCCAGTCACCTGGGACTGGAGTTACGTCACGATGCTATCTATGTCCTTGAGCTACCGGTGCCAAGTGACGGTGCCCCTGGGTTGCCTCTCCATCCCTTTTACACTGGTACCTATCATTTTCCACTTCCCTGCTCCCAGCATGTCTACAGATCTCCTGTGTTCTGTCTGTGTTGAGGTGCCGGCCCTGGGACGCAGGCAGCAAGCGGGTGACCGGCAGAGGGGGTCAGACTGCAATAAATCTCATCAGGATGCTGGCTTTTTGAAGTATTTTGAGGTATGTCATTTGTTTTCTCTAATAATGACACAGATTCAGACCCCCAGCCACACACTTCAGCCTGATGCGGGTCATACCTTCCCTATCCTGGGCAGCCAGGGACCAATTTACCCCTAAGCACAAATTACATCATATATTTTCTGACCAAGTTTTCATTTTGCTTGTAATTTACAGCATTATTTATGTTACTGCCGCATTTAGCCTTTGGAATCATAAGAGGTTTCAATCCTATCTCAATTTTATGGTTTAATACAGAAGTAGCTCAAATGGCTGATAATTAGATACAGTTATACTTTGGATGAGATCCAATATTACATTGATGTGTATTGGATAAGGACCTTGAAATAAATTTTCAAAAGGGACCATAGGGGTTTGGCACAATCTATACCCAAACTCATGTAGCATCTGAATGGGCATTCATTAGAAATGTACCTAAAAGGAAGAAGTCATCATCTGCAGGCCAAATCTCTGCGAATATATACCTTTTAAAACCTTAACAGGGTTTATCAGTTTGGTCCAGCTTAGGGACTGGCCCAGTTTGCTTTCCATCAGCGATCGCTGCTCCGATGCAGCGTAGCATTTTCAGCTCCCTTGTCCAGGCAAACCCACTCAGCCACAGAGAGCTCTTCTCCCTTTGCTTGGTCCTTCTGCTTCTCCCCTGTTTTTGTCAGACCCTCTGCCTCCCTTTTCCAGGAAGTTGTCTCTTCCCTTGGGCTCTCTCCCACTCACGGAGTATATTTTGAATATATCTGTCCCTGTCCACGGCACATCATCTTCCATTTAACAAGTATGTTTCTGTATATGCAAAATGCAAATGGATGCTAACATCTCTCAGCTGCAAAGACACGCTGCTAACTACGGTCACAGAGAGCATCACGTACCAACCGATGTCAGTTCGTTTCACAGGAAAGAACACTGTTTTGCCTGGGAAAAGTGCTTTTTGGTGCAGAAAAAAGACTGGCACAAGGGAGACAGTTACAGATTCCAAATTCTCTAACTCTTTCAATGCTGCAAGTCAGAGTATCTGAAAGGCTGCTGAAATAACAGGCTGGCGGCTCAGCTTCTTTCAGAAAGCGATTCCAAATCATACAGCCATGGTCCCATTCGCCACTTGGACAGCCTCTTCTCTCCACCCATTCTCCTCCTGGTTCCTCTTCACCTATCCATGTCTTCTTTCCCCATGCTGCAGAACAATTTGGACCTTCAGTGTCATCAGTCTCCTCCAGAAACACAGCGCTGAGGTTCGGGGTGCGGTTGCAGGGCAGGCAGAGGCATGGAGCACAGTCCATCTGGCAGAGCCTTCACCCCGCAGAACACAGTCTGGCAGCACTGCTGCTGCTGCTCTTCACCTTAATGAGGCTCCCGTGGAGAGCAGAGGAAGCTGAAAGGAAATAAAAAGATTCCTGACAAAAGGAATGTAAATAGACAAGATGCAGGTGAACAAAGGAGGAAGAGGAAAGCCACGTACAAGCCAGCAATTGAGTGGTTACACTCAGTAATCAATTTGTCAGTTTGATTTTAAGACACAGCAGAAGAGATCGATAATTCTTTACAGCAGCATAATGCACATCCAGGGTTTACAGCATTTTGATCACCGCAGTCCTGATTTCAGGGATCAGTTCTGTGCTTAGTAAGTGGAGGTGCATGTCAATGGTGGAAGGCGAAAAGAGCAGAGCAGGGAATGGTGGAAAAAAAGGTTTTAAAATGACACTTGGACAGGCTGCCACGCTGGTGTAGGTGGGGCAGCTCAGAAAAATCTGGGGAAGAAAATGCTCCCAGGCCCCTATGAGACAGAAAAATGAAGATACTACACTTATGCAGAGGAAGTTTTTCTGTTGCTTGTATTATTTTGTAAGGACACATTGTTTATCTTTGTTCTGCTGTGGAGATCCAGACTGACCTATTCCTGCTCGCACAGGAGTCAATGAGTCCCTTCATCTCTAGTGCACTGGTACAAACAGAGAGTGCTTAGTGGGTACATAACGGCACGAAATCCAAACGCTGCCGTTTATCACCCTCTTTGTACTGAATTAAATCACTACGTGAAACGCACTGAAGAATCAAACCTTTATTTTTTGTTGGTGAAAGGATTGGGTCCCAGAATTACATCAGTTGTTTTCTCTAAACAGCTATTAGCCTCCTCCATTATACTAACAGAACTGGTTTCCATCCTCTGGCTCATTTATTCCAAACCAGCATTATTGAAGTGAATGGGGTCTAGGCCCTGGATATTAGAAGAGCTGTTGGTCTACTCATAAATAACAAGTTGTCAAGGATTTTAATGGAAACCCTTAGAGTGCTGTAAATCTGTGCAGTTCTGCCTGCATCCCCTCCCTCATTTCCATCACAATATCGCTCCGGTGGGACCGCAGCTTGCAGCATGTGCCAGGCTGCCGAGATTGGTAGGACGCGGGGGAAGGGGGGGGGGAAGCTGGAGACGGGATGGGGGATTCGGAACAGTTGGTACTGCGGAAGCATCTGCTGGGTGGCCAGTTTTGGAGTCACCTGGCCTATTCAGCGTGGTGAGGGGAAAGGGCTATTCATCCAGGGGGACTGGAGAGGGGAATAACAGAACCAGGGATGCTTATGGAATAAAGACGGATGTATTGCAGTTTACATTTCGCTCCGTTGGTCTGTGAAGCAGTA